CACTTTGAATATATAATTAAAATATAATATTTTAATAATATAGTATTAACAAATAAAAAAAGTTCATAATTTTCTGAATAGACCTAAAATTAACTAAATAGCTAAATGATTATTTTGGCAGTATTCCTAACAACCTAAATCTGGTTATAAATCTAACAATAATTTTATTTGTCTATCGTTATCTAGATAACAGTGAAAAGATTTTTCTTGTATTAAACCAGGTATATAATAACTTGAATTTATAACTGTTCTTTTTATAGCAAAACAAATTTATTGTGTTTAAAAATCAGTGACAGACTTGTTATTAAATTATTTGTTTATAATTTCAATGAATAATTTTAATTTTATTACAATTTAAAAGTAATTTGTCCAAGATTAAGATTAAATTTAAATAGCTAAACAAATATTGTATAGTTACCTTTTCTATAGTAATCTGTTTGATAAATATCCCTGGTAAGACCAAAATCACCAACTTTTACTATATTCTTGTCACTAACCATACAATTTCTAGCAGCTAGATCTCTATGAACATACTTTTTAAAAGAAAGGTATGCCATACCATCTGCTATCTCAATAGCCATTCGTAAAATATCCTAGAAATAATAATTTATACATTTTATAAACTAAATTTAAATTTAAAGATTAATAATATTTCATAAACTTTTTAGTATGAATTATTTTAAAAATTATAAAAGTTAATTATTTTTACATAGATCAAATTTTTCTTAAGATATGCTTAGAATAGAATAGAATGCAAATGAATGCGTTTTTCAAAACAAACACCTATACAATTGTATAATTATAAACATACAATTTTTTACATAGTTTGATCACAAGAATACCTTGCTTTAATGTATATAGTTTTTTTTAATTATTCATATTTGAGTTTTTCTTTATTTGAAGTTCTTTCTTTTATGTTGGATCTTTTTTCATAATTTTGTCATCTTACTACTTAGTTAGAAATTAAATGTTATGGAAAATAAACATACATTTTAATAGTGATTTGACTAAATTTATGAATAAATGAAACAGAAGGATTTAGCTGCATTTGATTAGTGAGTATTAGCTCCTAGACTATATACTTTAAAAGCAAACAAGTTAAATGAAAAACATTCTAATGTAAACAGGAAATTTAGCGAACTGTCTACTAGCACAGAAATAATGTCAGCAGAGTCAAACGAGGAGTTGCAAAATCAACTGGAAGCAGTTGTTTAAAGGATTGAAGATCCTAAACTTAAACCTAAAAAAACTTAGCAGCAGTCAGAGACACAAGCTGAAGAGGAATCACAAAAACAGAGGGACAGAAGGGAAATGATAAGGAAACCAATGACTTATAAAAGTCGGAGGTTACCAAAAATTCTGTACCAAAAACTAAAGAACTAGAACCTCTATTGAAGAAGACTCATTAAGTACCAACCTATAAGAATGTGGCAATGGTAAAATAGGTAACAAAAATTGGCACTGATTCTCGGGGCTATGCCACTCATAAGTTGACTACTGAATAAGGGCAACTAATTGAGTGTTATGTTAGACTTTATACTATCGGGTATTGATGAAACTGATATACCAAGATTTGAAGACACTAGGCTTATTGATGCAGTATTTGTCACCAGAGCAGCCTAAGAGATGTCTTTAAAAGGTTCACTGAAAATGTCAATAAAATAAAACATTGGGAAGATGCTGATATCCAAATGGAAGACCACAACTTGATCAGGTACAAATGGATAGTCACTTACATATCATGACTGCCCAGAGATTCAAAGAAAATCTTGGGAAAATAGAACCTTAGACTAAACATTGTTATTTGGAAAATCTACTATGAAACATAGGTTGGCTATAAAGGGCAAACTCTATTCTTAGTTTGGGTGATAATAGCACTGTCACACTGGAGGAACTCAAATACAGTCCATATTTAGGAATAGGGACAGTTTGTTTCACAGACTATGTTACCAAACCATTGACAACTTAGAAGGAAGGGAAGAAATCAATTCCCCAAAATTCTGGGAAGAGGAAAGCTGAAGAATCCCTCCTGCTATTAGGAAAGAAAATTAAGATACAAGTAAGGACTGTAAATGAAACTTGTATCAGACCCAAACTAGCGTCTTTTTAAATGTTAGCATAAATGTTTCTGAATGTGTGATAACATAATACAATTCACACAGATAAATTTTCATCACAGCAAAGGAGCCAATAGTGTATAGTTGAGGATCTTAACTAAAAGACATACAAATTGCTCTTATTTAGGAACCATGGCTACATAGTAATTAAATTAAGGGACTAAACTTAAAAGACTTTAAGCTGTTTTACGAACAATTAGATAATTCAAGGTCTCGTATTTTGGTTAATGATAAAATAAAACCAGTTTGTTAAGCTCAGACTTGACAACTATTTTGGTAACATTAAGTGATGGTAAAACAATTATAGTAACCTTAGGATATCTAACATATGAGTCATCAGACTCAAGCAGGGTCTGAGGATTCATAGTTAGAACTCATCCTTAGTATGGACGCAAATGCTCTTCCATATAGTATGAGAAAGCAGTAACATTAAAACTAATGAATCTACTAATGACTACAAACCTAAGTGTACTAAATAGACGTAATGAGCCTACTTTAATAATTAGAAACATGCAAGAAGTGTCATTGATCTTACATTTTGCTCAAAAGGATTAATCAAGAACATAAAAAAGTGAAAAGAGTCCTCTTAACATTCTCTTTCTAATCATAGGCGCACATAAGCTTCACTTTGGAAATAAACAAAGTTGAAATAGAGTACTATAGAAACTCTAAAAAGAAAAACTGGGATAATTATACTGGCATCATCTTTTATATGGCCTGGAAGAATCTACAGGATAAACTAGGGTTAGTATAAATTACTGAAAGGGCTGTAACTGACCTTCAGATTTGCATTGTTTTGGTATACAAGAAAAACTGTCCTTTGAGAAAAAGAAAAATATAAAACAGAGTGTAGCTTGGTAGAACGCTAACCTGTCAAAATTAAGAAAGAGTTCTTTTAATCTATTAAATAAAGCAATGAAATTAGGTTTGGAATAATATCAAGTTCTACAAAAACTCTCAAAGACAATGCAAATCTGCATTGGAAAAATCCAAAAGAGAGAAGTAGAAAAATTTCTGCGAGGAATTACAAGAACTACCCACAGTTACTTCTACGCTACATTGAAAAATGAACTGAAGAAAACTATCGAAGCAATTTTATTACCAGACGATACATTCACAAACAATGATGATAACACATTATTATATATGTTGAACACACACTTTCCTGCTTCTGAAATTTAGAACAGAGAACAGCTACAGTATATAAGTATATACAGATAAGTAATAACCCCAAGTAGCATAAAATAGGCCAATAAATGCTTTTGGCAGTTTTAAGGCTGCAGGCTGTGATGAAGTATTTCCTGCACTTTTATAAGAGGGGTTAGATTTAATCGTATTCCATTTCTGCAACATATTTAGAGCATGCCTAAACCATGGTTATCAACTAAAAAACTGACAAAAGATTAAAATGGTGTTTATACCTAAACCCAACCATGCTAACTACTATGAAGCAAAATCCTACAGACCAATAAGTGTCACATCATTATTTCTTAAGTCTATGAAAAAAATAAACTTATTGATAGGTGTATAATAGAGGGGCCTCTAAAGTAGAATCCTCTATATAAGAACAAACATGAAGCCAAACAGAAAAATCCACTGATACAGCTCTACATGATTTAACCATTAAAGTGGAGAAAGCTATAAAGAATACAACATGTATGCAGTAGGCATACATTTGGACATTGAAGGGGCTTTTGATAATATTCCACAACTTGGGGTTCTATCTCTCTTGCTATGTTGTCTAGTTTAAACTCACTTATTATTGAGTTAAACAAATAATGTTATACACAAGCTTATGCAAATGACTTAGCTATAATAGTGGTTAACAAATTCCTAAATGAAATTATAGAATTGGCTTAGCAAAGATTGATCTTTGAAGAAGATACACAAATGGTGCAGTAGGAACACCTAGCTGTTAATCCAAACAAAGTAGAATTAGTAATGTTTACAGGGGAAAGAACAGGACATCACAATCTTGGCACTCTTAGCTTGAACGGACAAAAAATTGTCTTTAAGTTAGAGGTGAAATACTTGTATTACTCTAGACAGTAAGCTAAGATGGAAATCACACATTGGGTCAAAAGTAAAAAAGCCATGGCTACATTGTGAACATGCAGCACAACTCTGGAAAAGAAATGGGGCCTTAACACCAAAAGTTATGTATTGGCTATACACTTAAATGATTAAACATATGATTTAGTATGGTGCCTTGATCTGGTGGACCAGAACAACACTTATTACAGCTAGAAAAGAACTTAAATGCATTTAATGAATAGCTGCTATAGTCATTACCATAGTGTGACTCTAATCACACCAAAGGTGGCATTGGAGGCACTAATTAGACTACCATCTTTACACCTAGAGGTTTGTAATTTATACAAATGTCTCCAAGAAATTAAGAAGGTAGGTGCTGGCATTTGGTGATTATAACCTTGTATAAATATCAGCATGTCAATGGTTACAATACTTTCCATGTTCCAAGCAAAGGTAATGACAATACTAATAAAGGTCCAGAACCTGTTAATATTCAAGAAAAGGAACATAACTATCTTAGTAGTAACAAGGTGACTTCAAGATTAGTTCTTGAATGCAGAGAAACTTTAGAACCACTAGCAAGATTCAATAGTTACACCGGCATGGGTACCAGGACACAGTGGTGTGACTGGTAATAAAAAAGCAGACTTTCTAGCGAGGAAAAATGTAGAAAACACCTATGTAGGACCAGAACTTACAGAGCAATCCCTCAAAGTGCTACCCAGAATCTGGTGTAGAGAAAAATATAAGAAATATGATGTTACTTAGTGGTATCCAGACAATCAAACATTTTTATCATGATATTGGGTCTACTACTAAGAGATCTTAATAACATAACTAGATATCAAATAAGAACTTTAACTTGACTATTGACAGGACACGGTCATCTGCTTAAACATGTCTACACAATAGGAGTGACAGAATCACTACTGTGTAGGAAGTGTGGAACAGGAGAGGAAAATTCATTTTACATTATGTGTTAATGTGATACTTTAGCCACATTAAGATCTAAACAATTGGGAAACTCTTTTCCCCCCAAAAGAAGATATCAAAACCCTAAAACTCAAAGAGATACTTAATTTTGCCAGAGAGACAAAACTCTTTGGCCTAGTAGGACATCCTAAAATGTAGTGTTCGGTATTCAAGAATGGCAACAAAACTTTAGTGGAAACACTTATGTATAGAAACTGGATTAATATACTTCGGTAGGAAGTGCACACAATGGACCTACAGGTTTGAATGCATGGGCTGTCTTGCCCATTTTTATAACAACTAAAACTATAAACTAGTAAATTAAATTCTCAGAATGTACAAAACAATCTTTTAATAAATAAACTGAAAAATTTATTAAATATCTATTAATATAACATTAGAAATTGTAATATTAGCTATCGCCAGTTGATGCCATATAAATTTTATATTAAATAATTTATTAGCATATAATCTTAGAAAATAAAAAATAATGTACTCGTAGCTCTAAATATTTTAACCAAAATTTCATAGTAAAAACAGCCTTTTTAAATTTAATTTTTAATATATTGTATTATACCTTAAGCGTAGGTGGTTTAAGTGAAGGATCTGTAGTCATTTCTGGACGATGCTTAAGCAAAAAAGATTTTAGATCACCTTGACTCATAAGTTCCATTAAAACATATGCTGGCTGACCTTGAGATACAACACCATATAACCGAACTACATGAGTTGTACAAAACTCTCTAAAAAATATTAATTAATTATTCAATCTTAATCTGTTACTAACTTAGTAGCTTTTGCATAATTAGGGAACTACTATTAAGCAAATATTTTGAGATCCTAAAAGAATCACTGTTTGCCATTACATTTGTGTGTATATATATACACGCACAAAATTTTATTTTGTACATTTAATCTATAATTAACATATATTATATTAACACGTCAATATGTTATTAGGGATGATCCTAATAAATTAAAAATTAAATGCAACTAGAAAAAAACCAAATTTTAATTTCAATATTGTATTTATTTTGAGAGTAATTGAGTGATTTATGATAAACTGATCACCCTGTATGNATCACTGTTTGCCATTACATTTGTGTGTATATATATACACGCACAAAATTTTATTTTGTACATTTAATCTATAATTAACATATATTATATTAACACGTCAATATGTTATTAGGGATGATCCTAATAAATTAAAAATTAAATGCAACTAGAAAAAAACCAAATTTTAATTTCAATATTGTATTTATTTTGAGAGTAATTGAGTGATTTATGATAAACTGATCACCCTGTATAAATATAGAGTAGACTATTGTATGCATACAGATTACTCTTAAAATAAATATTGAAAAAAAATATTAGTTTATTTTAGTTACATATAATTCTTGATTTATTAGTTATTTATTAGATTTATTACTTTTTAGAATCATCCCCTAAAACGTATAGGAGTATTAACTTAATTTTTTTTAATGGTAACATAAATATTTAATTAAATCATTATAAAAATACTAATATTTAAAAATTAAAAAAAAAACTTTGTGGGAGAGTAGCAAGGCTGAGAAATGACTAATCATAAAAATAGCAACATCTGTACTTCACCTCCTGTCTATATTGAAAAAATGCTAATAATTTTTAAATATAGTCTAAAAGTTGATATCGACCAGTCATTTTCTTAGTTGCATTATTTTCTAATTTAATAGAAAATAATTCATTATAAATGTTGTTAATTGAAAAAATAAAGTTGGCACCCTTATAAGAAGTATAAGAGATGAATATGAAATTTTTTTTTACAACAGATAAATAGTGAGACATGTAAATAACAAAGTCAAAAAGACAAAAATATTATTATTTAAAGAGAAATTGTGTATCTAGTGTTAAAAGAATCACCTTATATAATAAAAAATTTCCACTTGAAGCTGATATTTCTTTTTAATTAAAAATAATAATTTTATAAAAAATATTAAAAATATTTAGCCCAATAAACTATAAAAAAACTGTAAATAAAATGTTGGGAACAATGCCATCATCACAAGACCATAATTAAAACACAGTGCTGAACATAAGTATATGTTTAGTGATGATGGTGGTAACATTGTTCTTAAAATACAAATACTCAATATTTTGAGTAAAATATTTTGAATAATAATAAAATAATATTAGCAACAAGTAATTAATTCTTGTTATTTGAAGTATTACTTTTTAGTTGTAGGCAAAAATACTTATATTTAAAAATTAAAAAAAAAAGCTATAATATGTGATTAAACCAATTTTTTCATCCTTTTAGAGATAAAAATCCTTATTTTTATTTTTTTTTTAATGGGAACCATTATTTTCTATATTATAATATAACAGAAAAAAAATAAAAACTGCTTTGTTCTAACAATTTTTTTTATTCATTCAACTATTTGCATTTTACAATCTTTTTAAGATTGGAACCAATTATAATTTCATCAATTATTTGGTTTTATAATATTGGCGGTGTTGCAATTTGGCTTTCTAAATAATAATTAAATCTAATAAGGATCATAAAGTATGGATAGAAGGGGGATAATAATTGGTAATTCAAAAATAAAATTACATAAAAAGATTTCAGGATTGCTGTAGTAGTGTACTATTATTATCAGTTGTAGTTATCTGTTTATTATAATATAGTCAGCTGGTTCACCAACTATTGTTAAATACTTTCTTAAAAATGTAAATTTTATAATTAAAGATTAAAATATATAAAATGATAATAATTAATTGTAACTGTTAACTATTATCTTGATATTTCTTTTTACAAATATTTTTAATTCTTAATAGTTTCTAAGAATATCTCTTACTATATTTTGTTCACTTTGTGTATATTTTATACATTGTAAACTAATGATAGTGGAATTATCAAAGTATTATAAATTTTTTTCAAGTATTTTGTGTATGAATTATCTAAAAAATTGCTTTTAATATATAGATTCAGAAGGAATGATGCCAATACGGTGGATGGCACCAGAAAGTTTAAAACATGGCCTTTTTACTTGTTTTTCTGATGTATGGAGTTATGGTGTTGTACTATGGGAAATGGTGACTTTAGCAGCTCAACCATATAGAGTATAATCTTAAATATATTTTTTTAATTAAGCTATAAATATTTTTATTTATAATCATTCTAGGGTGAAAATGATAAAAATGTTATAGCATATGTTAGTAGTGGTGGTATTATGGAAAAGCCTCATGATTGTCCTGATATATTGTATGACTGCATGAAGCTTTGCTGGCGTTTCAAAGCTTCAGAACGCCCAACTTTTCCAGAGCTAGTTAAAATGTTTTTACCATGTGCTCGTGAAGAATTTTCCAAAATGTCTTTTTATCACAATGAATTACAGTCAGAAACACCACGTGTTGAAGTATCTGATAACGGTGTAACCGAATCTGAAACATCAGAAAGAGAACGTAAGCAATTAGAACAAGATCAGATTACTGCAGTATTAAAAAACTTTGGCTCATCCTCCACTGAACGTTTGGCCCCTAAAGCTGATTTGGAAGAAGATGATGATGATGACGATGAAGATTCTGATAATGGTAGTGAGTTACAACGTCTGCGCATTGATAACTTTGTATACAAGCAGCGACCACCTAATGGTTATATGTCGATACACAATGGGAATGGTAATATAAATACCACCATATGCTGAATTGTAGTTCTTTATTATAATTATTATTTTAAATATTATTTTTAGTAGAATTAATTTTTTTAGATCAAACTTCTTTTTTATATGGCATATATTGTTTTTATATTTATATAGTTCCTAATTGTTTGTTGTGTCAAGTATGCAGAGATGGGTATACTATTTTCATCAAATTTCATTTTAAGTATAAACTACTATAACTATACTTTATGATTTTCAATTATATAAAAAATATGTGAACAAACTCTTATATTACAGAAAATTGATTATTAATTTGAATAAAGTCTTCTTAACTAATAACTAATTCATAAATCTGTGAGTGCTTGTTCATATTAATTGGTTTTACCTATACTAAAAAAAATGTATAAAAAAAAACATATATTTTTATATTCATGTCATTTAGTAATCTAATTTTTATTCGTCTTGATAATTTTATTTTACAGACTAAAAAGGTTTTTTTTACATACTTTTAAGTATAAAAATTTTTTTTTTTTGGATACTGTTGTAAAGTGATATTTGTATAAAAATATATATTAAACATATACTAATAAATAATAATAATAATAATAATAATATAGCTCAAAATAAGTATATTGCTTCTTATTTAATGTAACTTTATATTAATAATCAAATAAACAAGAGTTTAGATTTATCTTTTGCTTAAAATTGTTGTTAAACCATGACATTTGATTAAGTTATTTTTACATCAAATATTGAGTATATATAATAGGATATTACACATATATTTACTTTATTATGCATTTTGTGTATATATACACAGCCCATAACATTCAAATGTAGCTATAATGTTGCTTTTAATGAATTATCTAACTATCTGTTATCCCATCTCTGTAGTATATCTGAATTAAAATATTTTTTTAATATAATTTAAAATCGCCTGTACATTACCTGTCCAGTAGGTAAAAATCAGATTTGAACTTGCTCAATGCCAAAGCCAGTGTATTTTTTTTTCAATTATAGGTTTAGTTCCTTTTTCTTTTCTTTTTACAGGTGTGCAATTAAATATTCTCTAGTTTTTTAATTATATTAAATATATTCCTATAAGACTGCCTATTATGAATAAAGCTACTTATGTAGTTTCCACAGTACACAAATAGTAAAGTTAAACATTTGTTACCTGAAGTTTAGTTTTAGTTTTTGAACATATAACTCTATATTATAAAATTTAGTATACAATTTAAGTTCTGGTTCATGTACTAAGATTAAATAAAGGTTTAGAAGAAAAAAGAGATATTAAACAAATTCATAGATAATTTGGTTTTATAAATTCATTGAATTTACTAACTAACTCATAGTTAGTATTTTTATATATATATATATACTTATATTTTAATATATTATTGAAAAAATTGTTGTAAATATATTTAAATCTTTTTGTAGATAAATTGTGTTAACTAATATGTTTTTTAAGTGTATTGTAAGTAGTATCTGTGAGTCGTGACCAAATTTTTGTCATAAGTGCATTAATAAGTGTATAATTATAATTGTTCCTAAATTCAATTATGTAGATTGTAATCAAATATAATTAACTTCTGGTAAATGTAATAAAAATGTACATAACTTATTATGTTAATGTACATATTCATTTTTGATGCGTTAATAATTTTTTTTATCTTTAAGAAAACTTAAAATTATGTTTAATTTTAGGGTTGACTATTTATTTCTGAACATTATTTGTACTTCATTTGAAGAGATGTTATTAATTATAAAATATTAATAGTATTCGTTATATAATAAAAAGAACTTGTAAAAAATTTATTTTATTGGTATTTATTTACTTTAAAAAATAAAAAACCAACTACTTCAGGTCAGTCACCCTTACCCTAAACTTGCAAAGATTTCCCACATTATCTATACACACGCTTCAGCCGTCCTCATTTCGCACTCATAAACATCCCTCCATCTCTTTTTTGAACTTCCTTTACTTCTTCTCTCAATATTCATTTTCATAACCGATTTTACAGCTTCCGATTTCTATCTACTCATAACATAACCAAACCATTTAAGTCTATTTTATTCTTCTTAAGTAATTCATCAAGACCTTCAACTTTTATATACGTTTGTCATAAAATTAATAATTACTTTATATTTTTTTATAATTTCTCCATAAAAATAACAATACTAAATCATAAACTATCATTTCATACTATTCTTAATTGCTATAATAAATATTTATTCATATATAACACTTATAAATCATAAAATTTGTAATCAGACTATAAATAAGAAATCATGTTGCTTTTGGAGTAATCAATTTTTTAAAATTAAACACTACAGATTTGCATCGAAGCCTTTTTTATGATGGTGATTTTAATTACTGTCAGATTAAATCTATACTGGATCCAAATATGCCACGTTGATACTGTACAGTTTTTTGAAATTCAAATGGAGTTAGGTAAATTCATAAACACTTTTTAATCCTAAAATCTGAATAGCTAAATAACGTCTCCACTGTGTTGTGTGTTTTTTAGCTTCGATGCGAAGCTGAAAAGGTATTGGTTTTACTAAGATGTGTTTTTTTTTTAATTTTTTAATTTTTTTTTTTTTTGTGTCTGTTACCACTTTTTCTCAGCTCTCACCGAACTGATTTCTTTCAACGATACGTCAAAAGATCACAAATCGTATCTAGTCGAAGATTTTACCCTCAAAAATTGAAAAAATTTCCCTCGTTCCCCGTAAATGGAGGAAACCTCCAAAAAAATTACTAATTTAAAAATCGCTAATTTTCTAAATGNCAAAAAAATTACAAATTTAAAAATCGCTAATTTTCGAAATTTTTTCAATTTTTTTTACTAAAAACTGCCGTAACTTTTTCAAAAATGAACATATCAATATAATTTTTTTTTATATAGATGCTTGATGTCTTTACCTATCATTTGGTATATTTTTTTTGTAAATTTGACCTTTTTTCTGCCCACAGGGGGGGATTTAAAATGACAACTTTTTCACAAAAAATTAACTTTTTCAACTTAACTTTTGAAAATGTTCCGGAAGGTCTGACACTTTTATATATATCTTAAATTAAAGCTAATGTAATGTACTTTAATTTGAAAAAAAAAAATTTGACCTCTGGACTTGTCTTCATGGTGAACATGGACACCGAATGCTATTTTTGTGTGAATATTCTCGATTATATAATTTACATTTTTTACTTTAAAGTGCTATAACTTTTTAAAAAATGTATGGATCAATACAATTTTTTCATGAGAAGTAGTATTTATATACATCTTTCATTGGATATACTTTTTTTTTAAATCAGACTATTTCCCTATATATGGGGGGGCTTCAAATATAAAAAATGCATATAGAAAGTAAAACTTTTTCAACTTAAATTTTGAAAATGTTCCGGAAGGTCTGACACTTTTATATATATCTTAAATTAAAGCTAATGTAATATACTTTAATTTGAAAAAAAAAAATTTGACCTCTAGACTAGTCTTCATGGTGAAAACGGCTACCAAATGCTATTTTTGTGTGAAAATTTTCGATTTTATA